TTGATGGTATGAACCGGAGCGCCTGGGATGAGAATCTCTGACCTGAACCCTCTCAATTACCGGGTTCGGGCGGAGCTCAACAAGGGGGTCTACAGTGGCCGAGAAATCAACTATCTCGCTGAAGCCAGGTACCCACTCACGGTTGCGTGGCAGAATCTCTCGACGGCGCTCCTCCAGAAGGCTGTGGCGGAGTATCATGATAGTATTTAATATGCTCTTTAATATGGTGGTAGAAATGTCCGATCAGAATTTGATAAAGTGTAACTTATAGCGCCTCGAAAGTCAAGGAAGAAGTGACTTTTTTGCCCCCCCCCCTTGTCGTCGGGGTTCGCTCGAAGCGCTGCTGTACGTTGGTGGATGGTAGTGGACTTCGCCGCAAAGAACGCAGCCTTAGATTCATTAGGTGTAATATATGTTGTTCAGTTCATTGTGGACAACTCTTATTTTCTTCTTCACACACACTTTTAGCACTTCAAGCGACAAGACTAGCATGTCAAAGAAGAAGAAGAGATCATTCCCTCTCCTTGGTTCGAATCCGTCAGTAGCCCCGATGGATTTGAAACTGTCTGGTGCTTCCAGTACAGCTCTGTTGAAAAAATCATCAGGTATAGGCACGCCTCGTACACTTTTCCTTTTTTTTGTAGGAAAGGGTCCGTGATGGCGAATATGCTTGCTCTTTTTTTGCATTTTTACAATTATTTTCTCTTCAGCGAAGAAGTCTGCCGCTGCAACTTCGTCATCGCGGAAGGGCAGTGGCGGAGTGCTGAATGCGAGTTTTGTCAACAGCTCATTTCTTTCTGAAGATCTTGACTCTCCTGCTGCCCAGCCGTCTCTTCGGCTATGAATGAAATACAGGCTTTAGGGCGAAATGTGGCTTCTAGCCTACTTACAAGGAAATGTCGTCAAAGTACGATAAAACTTTGAATGGAGAACTGGTGATCGGATTTCTGTTGCAAATGTGGCAATGATAAATGCTACCTGAGTGTCACAGGAAAGTTACGGGCCTGAACTTCATAACCGTCTCCGAGATTCAGGCAGCAAAATTGTTCTCCACATTCGTAAACAGGATTCAGGACACTGTCGATATGCCCTGGTCTCCATTCAAAGTTTCATAGTATTATATTATAGTATTGGAATTTGAGAGAAGTATTCAAGTCTTATTTAATTGAAACACAGCTTTTTCCTTGAAGGCAAACTGTTCACTCACCTCCGTGGGTCCTGGTCCTTGCCGTATGTGACTAGTATAGGTCTGCAGCTGCAGTAACATACCAATTTCTCCGCTCAGAAGGCGGGAGAACAGAGCTGAAGGCTAGTAATACCCAAGTGCCGGCTCCATATTCCGCCTGCACTGCTGCACGGCCGGCCGCACACCTAACTATAGCCAACGCGCTAATTGTCCGCGCCCTCTCACGTTGGCTGTTTTCTACGTTGACTGAATGATCGTTGCGAGATTTTGGCGCAAGTACTGCATGTTGGAGATAGCACGGGCGGAGTTCTTTGGGCATGGCAATGACCATCATCAGAAGTGAGTGTGCAGTTTGTACTTAACGTGGATTTTCTTGATACTAGGAGTGAGCAATCTCAGCCTTTTGTAACTTGATCAAATGGGC